GCCATAAAATAGAAAAAACACATTAAACTAAGAAGTGACTGTGATCGTGGGAGACGGTAATTGATAAACTGAACATAATTAAAGAACAGTAAATCGTATAATGATAGTCTATAAGTCAAAATAAAGCCAATAATAAGAAGAATATAGATATACATAATCTATTTGCTGAATAATTATACAATAAGAATATTATATACAATATTAGTTCATTAATAGTCCTCAGAAGATATTCGTAATTTACTCTCCACTAGGATATAACATGTGGAATTAAACGAAACTGATTTATCAACAAATGACCTGAGACTAGAGACTATTAAAACAGCTGTATTGAGTTGGTGAATTAGTGAACACGTGTTGAGTTAAACTATAAGGTGTTAACCTATACATGATCTGTCAAGATTTTTCTAAAAGTCTTGAACTTATTTCAGAAAAATTCCAATTATATTTCAATGGCTTGAAAACATGGAACATTGAAATTGAATATTATGGATGTTACTGATTCAAACATTTTCACATGAATCTATTCTCAAACCCTGGCTGAAATAATTTCAAAAGATAGAACCATCGCCTAACGGGCTGAATATCTGGCCGTATAGAAAAAAACTGAAGCGATTATTTACATACAAAATATTCAGCAAAAATATTGTTATCACAAGCCAATTACGACTTAAGAACTAAATAATGGAAGAAAAAGCCAAGATCATAAAATAGCATGATTATTCAAATTAAGGCATTGTCATAGGTGTACCGAAAGATACTGACAATCCTCATTAAACCCTAAAGATTGTGATGAAAGTCTATTACCTTACCTTAACAGAGTATTTGTCTTATAACGTTCTGACAACTAATGTGTTTAAAAATATGCCGGATACGACTAGGTTAATTGAGCTGATATTTTACTCATTGAAGAGATTTCTATAGTTCAACTAGATAAATATGAATATATATATATATAATCTAATTACATAATAATTATCCAGTGAGAATATATTTAATAATAGACCATAAATTATTCCAAGCAACTACCATTCATTTATTCTTCAATCGGATATAACAGCGACGTAGGTCGTTATATTGCATCAGCGTATGTTAGTAATCTACCTAGGTAAGACAATACTTCCGTCAATATTATTTTAGTGTATAGTGATAAATAATCATACTATACGTGCAATAACATAGTTAGGAAATAAAAATATACGTAATAATATTCCGCTAATGAATTAATATATGTTTGTCAATCTGTTGCAACGTGGATCTTACAGGAAATAAAAATTATTTGCAGCATTTTTACTGTCTGGTGAAGATCATCAATAAGAACATTACTTGATAGTAGAAAAAATCTTGATATTTTAAAATTGGTTAAAATAATCAGTACCCGAACTGTTTTGAACATACAGTGTTACGTCCAGGCCATAGAGATCATTACAATTTATAATTGCCCTTATTACATAGTACCATCTGTACATGTGTATCACTTTCGCTGAACATAAAGCTAAAGGTTGAAATATACAGTTTTCTTGTAAGATGAAAGTGTTACATCTAACACATAAAAATGTGAAATGTTAACAATGAATTCCGGTTTCTCATTTCAGATGCTTGTATATTTACGTTTATGCTTATTTACTTTTGCATTCGTTGTCAAGGCATATTTTTTCAAGGGCAGAGAATAATAGTGAATGGAAATAAATTTAAGAATTGTGAAAAAAACTTGTCAGCTTAAATGATGGGTTCAATTAATTCATTGAAATAGTTAAATGGAAAGTAATTTCCTCTTTATCCATTCAGAATTTTATTAGTTTTCAGGTACAACAAACACTAACGTAATTAGAAATCAATATCTGTTGGCAATAAACTGATCGTCATCATAATTGAGAAATAGTTATCAGTTTTTTCTAGTGTAATTTGGATAATATGTAGAGTCTTTCCGTTTAGAGTGAAATTATATGCACGTAATTATTACAGCTTTTCTATTGTCACAATCATTAATGACTTCAATTGACATCAAGGGACAGATCTAGTTCTGTTTTCCATGTATTGAGTAAAAAAATGATACCACTCTTCCATTAACAACCACTTGTATCGTGTGGCGTTCGAATATAAGTATTCTAGACTTTTCTTAAGATACTTCAGATTCAAGTTCGAACGTGATCACAGTAATAGGTAAGTATTATTCTAAGCATATTGTTTCTAGTAAAGTTTCCGTCCCTGGAAGCACGAAAGCATACAGTCAGAGAATTCGAGTGGTCAACGTTTCTCTGTTTTTTTATTCGTCATTCATAGTTTCACTAGAATCAGAAACCATATTTGAAGTTTGTTTGCTATAGAAGTGGTTGGAAACCTGTTAGAAGAAATCGCAATCGTCCTCACAGAAGAAGGTAATTATAAAAAACTTAATAATGCCATTTTATCGAGAGCTTCATCAAAATTCAGTTGTCTAGGATTTTTAATTTCCAAGGAGATAGATGGAAACTTGACTGTAGTTCGTGGAAACGTGAGGATAACAATGGATTCAGTTCTTTGGCTTGTCACAATAGTTCATTGATACGGAACCTAACGGGATCAGAGTTCGGATCCTTCAAGCCCCAACTAAACCATTTCACTGGTGCATTTGATGTGATGCACTATGTTTTATTCATCAATTTGGGGGCGTCTATATCTGCTCGATGCGTTCAAGTTGATGCATAAGGTATTTTATCAGGTTAATCTCTCAGGTAAATAATGTCATTACGTTAATGAATAAAATGAAGTTATAAAAAAGTCAGGGCATTAATTAAATTGTGTTACCATATCAACAAAGTGATTGTCAACTAATTACTAATTCTTACCCAATCCATATTATTCCATTTATTGCGTAACACATGACTGAATATTTAATTCAATTTGCATTTGCATTATTGTCTTTCTCACTTTATTTCATCTATATTTGATGCTCATTATTAATCATACAATTTCATTTAACGTATCAACCTATTCAAGTTACCGGTGCATATTAATCGTTTCAACATTAACAATTTTATGATATTTTACAAACAATCTTGAATTCACACACTATAATTTGAAACGATGTAATTGGCTCGAACCTGTCCACTTTTTGGTTTTCTAATTTGAAAATAGAACTGTAGAACCTGAAGAGAATTTATTGAAAAGAATATTATTCGTCCAGATATCAGTGTCTTAAATAAACGCCTCACTGTCTAATTATTGTAATGTCAGTCATTTTTAATGAATGTTATTTCAACGTCTATTTTCCAAGTCGTTGACCCACTTCTTGTTCTGGAATATTGATTCAAGCCTTTATTATTCGTATCAAACGTAGTACATATGTAACTAAACCATCAATAGCCTCAAAATGCCCTGGCAGAGTCGAGAGTGGAGACAGTCTGCTCTCACTTTAGAAATGCTCTCATATGGCCACGTGTATACAGCCACAGTCAGAAAAGTTATACTCACTACGTTCTCGCGGCAGAGGAGTTGTGTACGAAATCGAGAGGACGAAAAGGATTAAACTAGGAGAGTTTGAAAACCTTGATTACAAACCAATGGTGCATATGAACTTCAGTATTCTGAAGGAACAAACGGCGTATGGACCAATTGTTGGTCACCGGCTACCATGGGATTGCATCTCTCAAAGTTGTTCCAGTGCCTTGTGGATTAGACATTTAGGTCAAAGGCACTGGGTGTGCACCCCTAAGAAAACCACCTGCTTCGATCTGGACACCCGGGCAGTATCACAGCCCTCACACAAATCAAATGGAATGACAATTAATACTGGAAATATTATTCTAGCTTCAATTGAAATTCAGACAATTCGCATTAATTTTACTTTTTTATATATTACGTCACTTGTGCATTCGCCTTTATTTTCATGTCGCGTATATTATTTTTCAATTTATACAGCAGCTCGCCTATGGTGGAAACCCTGTTCTATCTAAATGATCTCGAGTCACTGACTGGTCGAACGTTGAATGCTACCACCAAATACGAATACTGAAACAGCCTTTCTGAAACCACGTATGCCATTCAAACTGGTTTCCTTCAACGTTCGCACACTAATGCAGGGTTGGCTACGTCTTTAGAAAGTCTTGATATCGATGTTTGTTGTCTGTCCAAGACTCGTATTCAAAACTAGTGAAATAATACAAATTCCCTCTCCGTCTGCCGCTTCGGAAAGCTTGTTTTACATGCGTTGATCCGCGGATCTTGTGGCATCTTGGTCTAGTTTTGCTGGAGTTGGTGTTGCACTAAGCGCTAGAGCTGCAGTGGCACTGACAGACTGGATCCCCATTAACAGCCGCTTATGTGCTGTTAGATTAGAAAATTCCATCAAAGTGAGAAGAAATTGGTGTCAGAAACGATGTCTTTTCGCCATCTCCGCTTATGCTTTGACAGATTGCAGCCGGGATGCAATCAAGGATGAGTTTTACCACCAGCTAAAAGTTTTTCTACAGAAAGTGCGTTCGACGGATATTGTAGTACTAGCGTGAGATTTGAATGCTCAGGTCAGGCATGTAGGTACTGTTGAGAGTTGTTTAGGTAGCCGATGGGTTGCACGACGCCATGAAAATGATGAATGAAGTCGCATGAGGGTTTGTGAAATGTCCCGCTTATGAGCACTGGGTTTCTTCAGGCTCCTTACAACTCATTGAAGCCTGTCGGTCTACTTCAGGTAACCACGTGTTTGACCACAAACGAAGACTGTTACGTAATGAAATTGGCCAAAACTTGAGTAAGGACCGAAAAGCCTGGTAGTCGGAGCGTATCAATAAGTTGAAAGCAGCAGCTGGATCTAATAACTTCTGGAAGTTCTTTCAACTCATCTGAGCCATTAACAGCAAGAGGTCTGGTGTGAGCGAAACAATCTGTGAAGATGACGGGATGCCAATCACTAACATCTATCGACGTCTATGACGATGGGCAGAGTTTTCGAGGAGCAGTCCAAATGTTTCAACATACAAATATGTAAAACTTTCTATGTAAATCCATAGGTTAGCTGAAAATTCCTCTACCTAATCACAAAATAATTTATTTAACAAACTACTGTTTCTTTAAAAGAAAAATTCATTCATAAAATATTACTCTTCTTAACTAAGTTGCAATTACTACTGAACTAAGCAACTACTAATTCATAAGATTATAAACATGAAGAAAAAAAATTATCGAGTTCTATGCAGGGAAAAACTATCATTCGAACCATAATACAAACAATAACTTCTTAATAGACGTAATAAATTCAAATGATAAACATTCAATAGTATAACATAAGTAAAATAACATACCAATTCAAGTTTCTCAATAAATAATGATAATAGTAATAATGGTCCAATTAAAATTGAATTTTGTATACAACTTCCAAATGTAAACACTTAGAAAAGTAAAAAAAAGTAATCGATATAAATATTTCGAAATGTTTTACGTCATTCATATGAGTTAGTTCCGAACAACAACAAAAAAGGTACAAGGAATTTCATTATTCAAGAATGAATTGCTGAAATTAAGAAAGGTAGTTTTACATAGATATATAATGATAACATTCATGTAACACAATATCTATTCATCTATCCATCTGTTCGAGTGTAATGTAATATCTCAGTTATGAAACATATTGTTTTTCCATAACGAACTTAATGTTCTATTCTTTATTAATTAAATGACGGAATTTTATGTTGTCAAGGTTAACTGTCGGTGTTAATTTTTATCATACTGTCTGCTGTGTTTCATTTTATGTTTAACTGTTTACTAGTTGATTTCTTGCTACTAAAAGCTTGTGTTTCAGTGTCTACATTTGGTTCACTTCTATGATTATTAATAGGTGTTAGTTCACCTCCCATAGCGGAATGTCGATCATCATATGCATCAATTGATTGTTTATTCTTAGAACTCATTGTTTTTGTTGTTGGTGTTGTGGCTCTTTTCTTTTTTCTTTGTGTTATTGGACAATTTTGTTTTAATAACTGGTTAAGGAAACGATAAAACTCATAATCTGCTACACTTTGTTGTATTTCATGATTGTCGTTTGAGGGTACATGTAAATTTCTTGATGATTGTGAACGCACTTGTGGATATTTTATATTTTTTTGTATTATTTTATTTGTATGATAACTTCCAGGAATAGAAACATCCATAGTAGAAGAATTTGATGCGGATGCCGACGAACTAAACCGCTTGCGATGAATTATGTTAGTATTCATTTTAGAGATCGATTTGTTCTGTTGATTATTTGAATAGGATAGATTATTGTTATATACACCGGCTGACTGAGCCTGTTTTCTGGAAATATGTTTATTGTGATTGTTCTTTCTAGACATTGCAGCATTTTCTTCATATAAAGGTAGACCGGGTACAACTGGTTGTAGATAGGGTGATATACTTGGTTTGGGCAAACGAGAACGTCCTGTTAAGGGTGAATAATTAAAATTCTCTTTTTCCAAATATCGTTTCAATGCTAAAGGTAGTTCTTTTTCTAAGTAGATTTGTGAATATGGTAAATGTTTAGAATTTTTCGGAGTTTTATCATCTACCCCAGATGACGTAAAGTGATGGCAATTGTCATTTTGTACATTAATATTATTTTTAACTGTTGAGATCAAAGTGATTGGAACATTTTTCTTTTCAGTTCCCATAGTCCTACTTTCACTAGACTTATCATTTCGTAATTTTAAATCTGTTGGAGTTGGTACTCGGACTATGAGCTGTATTGAAGTATTTGTATTTTGTCCATTATCATGATTACTTGAGCCGTTTCTTTCACTTCCATTCTTTAAAGTAATGGATGAAGAGCTTCCAGTTGAGGTGACGCTAAGTGATTCATTCAAGGATTTATCCGTTACATGTCGATTATGTGCTGTGCTAATAGTTTCATGCATTGGTTCTTCAGAAGACAATAAGGGTAAAGATTGTGTTGACAGCTTTTTTCGCCTTCTCCTATCCAGACATGTTTGTACACTTGAATCCTTCAATGTTAGGGACACAATAAATTCGCTTATTGGTTCAGTGGATGAATCAATCATCTGTGGTTTTTCTCCCACTATTGTTTCAACAACCATGGAACTTGAAATATCTGTTTTACCAATTGGCTTTAATTCATTTTCTGGATTGAAAACACCAGATGCTGACATTTTCTCTTCATTAACATCATTATGGTTACCATTGGTGCGAATATCGATTTTGGTATTATCATTACCGCTACTTTGAAACTTATCAATGCTAACTTTTCCTTCATTTGATAGTTCCTGATATGTCCGACCACCATATTGTTTTATTAGATTAATGAGTAAATTTTTCGATGTTTCATCATTAGTTTCATTTAAGTAAGCAAGATTTAATGGGGTAACATATTCATCATTCGGTAGACGAGTGACAGCATTCACATCGGCTTCATGTTCTAACAGATAATGACACAATCTAATACCAGATGGTTCAGTACTCCATGAAGCTGCTACAACTAAGTGCAATGGGGTATGACCTTGAGATTCCGTTGCATTTACAACCGTATTAAAACCTGGTAAATTAGCTAACTGTTTAATAAAAGATACATTTCTTAGTAAACATGCTTCATGTAAAGCTGTTAAACCAGTTTTATTTGCAAGCCATGGATTTAAACCAGCCTCAACTAAACAGGTCAATTGAGTTTTGATAAGACTGTCAAATTTAATCCCATTGGACAATGAATTTAATCTAGCTAAACAATGACACACAGTACGACCTTTAAAATCTGTATGCATAACATCGGCTCCAGCTTTAATAAAGCATTCAGTCACATGAATATGACCAGTTGCAACAGAATAAAACAATGGACTACATCCATCATTATCATTTACATCACGAAGCAGGGCAATTTTACTCTCATCATCTTTGTTTGCAATTGTTATCCAATTCAAGATAGTTTGAACTGTTTGTAAATTACCTCTAGATGCAGCACAGTGTAATGCAGTCAAACCATGTGAATCTTTATGACTTAAATTAGCACCTAATTTAAGTAATACTTCTACAGCATGCGCAGAACCAACTGTAGCTGCCCATATAATTGGTGTACGACCATGTGTATCCGGTGCATTTAAATTTGCTCCACCGATATTGATTAATAATTCAAACAGTTCATCGATTTGTTCAGCATTCACTTGAACAGAATAATGTAAAGCTGTGGCACCTTGATCATCATATTCATTTACAATTTCTTTTATAGAATTATGATTATTACTGTTAGTTAAAAGATAATTTAAAACATCTAATTGTGAGTAAATAACACATAGATGTATAATTGTCCGACCAGTATTATTTATTTCACTTGAATCACTATGACTTGTTGATGATGAAGACGACATTATTGATCTTGCTTTTGTCTTAATTTTCATATCTACATTATTAAATTCATTTAATACTTTTAAAAAATCTATATCACCATGAATAACTGCTAAATGTATCGGAGTAAATCCATTATGATCATAGTAAGTTAAAAATTCCGGATTTGATTTAATTATGACTCGTGTACATTTTAATCTATTCAATTGTCGTTGAAATATCTGAATGTCATTTCCATTCGGCTTTTTATCATCTTTTTCATTAGCAATTTTCTCTTCTCCAAATTTAACACAATAATGTAATGTAGTTTGTCCAGTTTGATTATCGATTACATTTCGGAGATTTCCTCCATCAACAATAAATTTACCTAAATAGTCTAAATCACCTTGACGACAAGCATTTAATAATTTCAACTTGTCCTCATGATTTGGATTAATTGTAGACGATGGTGTTGAAATCATTTTTGAATCTGATGGTTTTTATTATATGTGTATTTTCTTCACAGATTAGAAAGCTTTCAAATAATGTTACTTATTGCTGATTTAATCACTTAATATTTATTATACGAGAAGGATATAGTCACGCGTAAATTTTAATATGATTTTTGAAAATCTCTTTGAGGAATACATTTTATATACTCCTATTGTAACCATAACAACATCGTTTACTAACTGTATGATTGGTCATTCCACTACTATTCCATTGATTGATGAATCGTGTCAAGGTCAAACTAATGCGCACTTAAGGAATAAACATAAACTTTCTATCCAGATAAAGATTATTCTGCGAAATTTTAAAGTTAAATTTACAACAATAAAGGAATATGATGAGATTAACCTAATTATTTTGTTTATCGTATTATACTAAATTTTAAATTATGTAAAAGTTAGACTAATTTTAAATAATGTAGACCTTGATTGAAAATGTTTTCTTTTGTTTTGTCTCATTAAGTCATATAATAACCAATTGTGTTACATAACTCACTAGTTTTCACATTTTTACATCATTATAATTAATTTAAAGAAATTTATATCCAATAAGAAACGGAGACAATAGGTTGAATTGTATGTAGTCAACTTCAAAATACAATAAAGTAAAGGATTCTCAGCGCCCGTTGTTTCAACAAATAACTGTTTAACATACATTCAATTGTAATTATTCAAAGTAAATTTTAAAAATCCTTCCCATAATCAGTATCTCCTATGTATATTGAAGTCATTAAGGTTTTCTACCAAAGCTGATACAACTATTCTTTCATCCAGCAGATACTGAATGCAAGAATTTCAGTTTATTTGTCTCTCAAATTGTTAAAGGATAGATAAAAAGGAAAATGTACTACGAACTTCAGTGTTTCTGTTTCAGTACATACAGTTAGCATTCATAATTGTTCAGTTCGAATGAATATAAAACAGGTGGAATATTTGTTTCCTGATGCGTAATTAAATAGTTACAATATGTAGCAACCCCAAAATTTAAATGTATTTGATACATTGATAATTTAAATCTAAAAGCCTAACATCTATGCCACGAAGGTTACTAGAATCAAGGATGTAGTTGCAATAATATAAAATGACGACTTTCAAGTATAGTCCATCTCCCAAGAGCATGTGTCAAGTGTGTATTAAGGTAGTTATTGATAATCAACCAGACCTTCTCAATAGGTTAAAATCAATACAACTAGAATAAGAAATCTTGATATCCAATTCAACAGTTAAAACAACTAATCCCAGAGAAATTCACATATACGAACGAGGGATAAGCTTTCAAATAACCAGTGATCAAACCCAAAATGTGTTGTATGGAAAACACATTCATTATCATCAAGAAGTACGGAGTGGTAAGCACCTACGATATTATCAGAAACGATTTTTGTGATATAAGGTTAACAAAGAAAAGGGAAATAAACAGCAAGCTATCAACTATTAGATGAGTTGTTCCCCGGAACTGCCACTGGAAAGCTAGAGAATCAAGTGAATGAGAAGTCATTCTATACTGATCAAATTTTTATATAACATACTAAAAACCCAGCAGCACACAAGACGGACTGAATATGAAACTTTACTAAGAAGAGCGAAAGCACATTCCAACATACACTATCAAGAAATGACTACTGGGAAAACAGCATTACAAAGGTTCAATACAACCTTCCTTCAAGATGCTCACAAACTGAACGAATTCAAGATAGCTCTCAACAACAGGTTCCAAGCCTTATAAGATTTACTCACAGAAGAAACTGCTGAGGAGGACAACTGGAAAAACATCAAAAAAGCACTGACTTCAACAGATGTTATTCACTATATTTACACCTAAAACTGAAAAACATGCAGAAACTATCACCTTTGTTAACCTTTATGCCAGTTTTAATCTAATAAATAAGAATAGGAAATACTACATCAAAGATGCTCAGGTTCCTTTATTGATTTCGATTTATTTTAAAAGGTGTGATTTATAGTAATGTGGTGAAAATCAAATGAAACAAGCACGACCAAATGATAAGAATTGAAACTGTATTTTCTGTTGTAGCAAAGACCAAACAAATACACTAGACTTTTCTTTTGAGCAAAAAGCAAGGAAATTTTGAGGAAATCAGATTGATAAACGTTACCTACACTGAATATTATTGCTAGTTTGTGCAGTGAATGCTTCACAATATGATACAGTAAAACTTTTAGTCAATTGACTGAATTGCTCTGTATAAATACTATATTGGTTTTATTATGTTTTAGGATAAAGTTAAGGATTCCCTATTAACTCCCTAATGAAAGTGATCAGTGAATGATGCTGACACTATTTTTTAATCCTTTTTTAATTTAAAAACGTTCCTGATAAACTCATCAAGATCACTTAGTATCATTTATAGTTCCCGATATTTTGCCCATTTCACATCACAGAGACTCCTTAATTCGAATTATTTACTTAATGTTGTGTAAAGTGGTTAGACTATGAGTTACATTTAGTATGCGGTGGTTAATTATTTATTTGTTTTATTTTAACACATAAATATTGGTTCAAGGAGACACCAAATACATATGCGCCACACAAATCTCATTCGATATGTGTGAGGGCTGCGATACTGCCCGGGTGCCCAAACCGAAGCAGGTGGTTTTCTTAGGGGGCCACTCCCAAGTGGTTAATTATATCATTTTATAACTAAAATTAATGCAATTCAATCACGTTTTAAACCCGTAACTCAACGAAGAATATTGACCAATTATTTGATTCGATTTGCATCATTATTATTATTATCTCTCTCGCATTATGTCATTTATATTTGATGCTCATTATTAATCATACAATTTCATTCAACGTATCAACCTATTCAAGTTACCGGTGCATATTAATCGTTTCAACATTAACAATTTTATGATATTTTACAAACAATCTTGAATTCACACACTATAATTTGAAACGATGTAATTGGCTCGAACCTTTCCACTTTTTGGTTTTCTAATTTGAAAATAGAACTGTAGAACCTGAAGAGAATTTATTGAAAAGAACTCTCTTTGTTCTTATGTGTGTTTTGATATGATGGAAGCTTTTCAGAGATACAAAGGATGGATTCAAAATAAAGGGTGAAGAAACATAAACGAACAAATAGTACAGAAAAATTACCGTGCTGCATAGAAATCAGTTACAGGACTATTGTGTACACTTAAATTCAGAGGTTTTAAGCATTTATAAATTTCCTGTTAAGTTGTACTGAAAAAAAGAAAAGACAATAAAGTATTTCAATTACTGCTTGAAGAACAAGAACATTAAGAAGAGATGGACAATAAGAGATTATTTTATACACTTAAATTTGTACTTATATTTGAATTCAAATTCTCAGTCACTCAGTGAGACATGGAAAACGTAGGCCTGGGATAAACAGGCATCGATTCAGGCTGTCACATTATCACAGCTGTATAAGTTTGGTTGATCTCTCAATGTTTATTTCTCGCTTACCAGTTTAGATAATGAAAAAGAAACTCGACCACAGCAATTTTTGAGTTTCGTTCTTGTTAGTTTGCATGAGAAGTCAGAAATAAATTAGAACGAATGGTCAATATAACGGGATTACTAAAAATATATACAACATAAATACTTTGACACAAATGTATAGTTAAATGAAACATACTTCTTAATTTTGAGAATCGAATGAATTATTCTGACGTCAAGTGAAATATTTTAATAATTTCCAACGGCTTAATGATAAATCCTTACTGGTCATGTAACATTTTTAATTTACAGAGTTCGAAATTTTTTATAACTAATGTATTCTTTCAAGATAATGAAGATACACTAACGTTAAAAGTTAAAACATAACTTACTAACTCCATTATTTTGATTTATTTTTATATAATTAAATGAAAAATTGTACTATATTTATAGTCTCTAGTTTATACGTTTTTTAGGTTATGAACATTCCGATATCCCATTATCTATATATCACGCCAATTAAATGCTTTGTCCATAAGTAGACAAAGCCTAGTCCATTTGTTTATATATTTTCCGGTTATAGAAATATCTGTAAAGGTGATTATATTTGGGTTAGGTTGTAATCAGTGTCATTAGAATCCTAGTTTATTAATATACTTACTACTTATTTTGGACTAATAACCGTTTGTTTAGCTTCTATGTTATTTTAATTTTAATAAGCATTAAACAAAAGGAAAATCCTAGTTTGTTATAGTTGTACTATTTGGATCTGTATTAGTAAAAGTTTCAGTTATGCCGTTGTCAATATTTGGGTCTGAATTGTGATTAGACTTTTTTGCTATGTGAATTCGAAATGCAACCATAATCCCATTATTTTATAGCGTACTATGTATGTTTCCGTTTGAAATTCATCTTTGTTTTTGTTTATTTTTTTAATATATTGATCCGAGAGATAACCAATCCATCTTTTATCTCTTCATGGACTGATCTTCTACTCCGAGACTCTCACTGACTTACAACAGATAGATGAGACAGATCTGTTTAAAGAAGATGCTAGCCAAAATACAACTCATCTGAACGCTTAAAGTAAAAATGAAAAACTTTCGAGATGATTCGCTGTCTATTTAAAGGCAAAATGATTCTTTAAAACTGGCCTACGTCATTGTTTGGTTAGATCATAAGCAGTGAGCTATGTGAATCTATTAGGCAATTTAGTTATCTTGAAAGTCATAACGGTTTCCCTAAATCATAAGCTGTATATTGAAAAACCCATAAACTAGTTTTGATAGCTTCTAATATATACTAAAATATACTATTCATAACAATCGACATGGTTCCCTTTCAAATCTGAATTTTAACTTTAGATAAATTTAATACTAAAAATTTGCTTATGAGCAAATTTTCCACCTAAGTATTCATTTAAGAATTAGTTTCATAAATAGCCAAATGCATATAATCTTTATTTAACTTTTACACTCAGGTGAAACTTATTTAAACGTTTTGAGACGATACAGAATCACGATAATTATCTAATCAATAATCTTAATTAAATTCAGAGGACATGATATACACTTTCATATTTTATGATATATGGTTCCTGTTTATTTGTCTAGAAAATGTGTGGTCAAATAAAAGCTAACGTTACTTTCACTGAAGTTAATTAAAATATTTCTAATAGAACATTATACAGTTAATGAAGTCTCATCGACGGCTCTAGAACGTGGTTAAAAATCATCACAGAGTGAAAGAAAATGCATAATATTTATTTAAATATATTGGCATAATTTACTTTACAATGAATCCTGTTATAACCTTAAGGTATTTGATTAATGAACTCATTTGGACTAGTATACACATGAAGAACATTTTTGCACAAAAACACCAAGTCTTGTAGATCACAGTTCCTATGATGCAGATCAGTCAGCATTTATATGGTATTGTTATTGTATTATACAGCATTTACTTCATTGAATTAATTAACCTCTATAACAATGTATTACTAAAATATCTGTCAGTCAACTTGTGATAAAGTCATTTTTCACTGTATTCCTCATAATCTATTTGTTCAGCACTATGGAGGATACTATGACATTGCTTATCAGTTTCTATCACAATAGACGGTTTGCTGGAATTGTGGAATTGCATAGTTTGCATCACGGACTGATCTCCGTCCAACAACTATCAAAAACCAGCAAGCGCTAGGGGGGCATTGATGACCACATCTGAACAGTTCCATACTAGAACGAAACAGTTGTATAGTCTCTCTTAGTCTATAACTTATCGTATCAATAATTTCTAGATGTGAAGTTTGGAAAAGACTTAATTTGATCCAATGTATTTTCAAACGAAACTCGTTTATTAAAGGTCGTTTCTATTCGCCTAAAACATTTAGAATTTTTTAATATAAATACTGAATGGCACGAAAATAAAAATTGGTGACTAAAATGTGTTATACTCCTTTACTTTTAAAGCTTCTTACAAGTTCCAGATAGCCTATACTTCTAAGCTAACATTCGATATATTTGAAGTTTGTAAATGATGAAAAAATTTAAAATAGAATGATAAATTTAGATTTTCCTGTAGAAGTAATTGTTATATTTGCTATATTCAATGTTATCAAGAGAACTAAGCTTTGCATAGTTGTAAGCAGTCGGCAGGAATACCTTGATCTAGGTTTCCTCAAAATTAATTTCATAGAATATCTGTCATTTTGAGGGAACTGATATCATTTATGGGACTGCAAACTACGTCACTCAATGTTACGGTCACTACTGAACCGACTAGGCAATACCTAGGCCTATCGAAACCTCCAACTCAGTAAAACCCAAATAGTGCACATGAAATTTCGGGTCATTAGACTAGTGTCCAGATTGATATTAATAATCGCATTATTAGGTATTATATGTTCGACTCCATGCGTAGTTCTAAATAGACAGAATATAGTACGTTCAGGTTTATTTCAGAGGTTAGATTTTAAGTTTTAATTGACAAGCAAACTAGACAGATTCTTAAAAGTACAGTCTGTATTATTTTGTTGATAGGCCTTTTACATGAACACTCAGGCAGGAATTTCTGAATAGCTTTCAAATAGAAAAAGGTATGCTAAACTTGAGCCATGAACAAAAAACAGACAGTGAAAAGTCTGAAAGTCTTATTTTGGAGGTTAGATTATGCTCAGAAAACGATTATTATTGTGAATATGTATGATTTTGAAGTTCTAGAAGTTTTTAGAGAAATGATCTATTAATCTTTTTTTAGATTTTCCTTGTAAGTTTTCAAAGAGCGGTAATTGATCGAATTATGTTTAGCATTTTCTGCGCTTTTGGAAACCTTTTCGAGGAACAATCAAAGGGTCCCAACACTAAATTATTTATTTTCTAAAAATAATACTTAAGTGTTTTCTTTGTGATTTATATCCATGGATATGAATGAAGAGATGGTAAACACTAAAATTCTTTCTCAGCAACATGATGAAAATGATTAAAGTGAAAACCTTTTTGATAATGAGATAATAAGATCAATCCAAGTTAGTATACGTAGCATTATTTATTGCGAAGAGGATAATGATTTAATTGCTCGGTTGGTTAATTGAATGAATTACTCCAGTTTCAAAGACATTGTTTATGTCTATTTGGGTGATAAATAATTGTAAACCGATTGAATTTAGTCCGTGATGAGAACTAATTGTTCAGTTGTATAATCGATTCATAAAAATGCGTACTGAACAC